GCTCGTTCTCCACCTGCAGGAGCCTGAGCACAAGGGGCTTCGGGTGGACTTCAGAGTTTGTGTCTGTTGTCGTGTTCTGCCCATCAGTCACTCCAGACAGCACGGATGAACCGGAGACATCGCCTTCCTCCATTCCAGGTAGAAGCTCCAGCTACCCAGGGCGCGAACTCTCCACCTGCCGCCTAAGCGCAATCCGCTGTGTGGACTGGAGATTTGGGACCGCCCGCGCCCCGCCCCGGACAAACTGAGCTCCGCCCCCGGGCCGCCTAGCCCCGCCCCGCTCATCATCTCCGCTCCTTGACTGTCCGGTTGCTATGGAGACGCGTTGCTCTCCCAGGGTGGCGCCTCTGTTAGGTGCAGCACAGGAAGACAGAGAGTCTGGAGAGCGGCTTCCTGCTCCTGCTTCCGGTGTGAAGGGAGGAAGACTCAACAGCTCTCTGCTTCCTAAGTGGTTAGGTTAGGTTTCCACGGTTCCCAGGTTCCCCCACAGTCTTTACAAAGGCTGGGAGTGGACAGAGTTTTCAGACCCTCCCCATCCCTCCCCGCCCCACTAAGGCAGTCGGTTTCTGGTAAAAATTCAGCAGTCAGAATGAAGGTTGTGAAGAGGACATTACACGCTTAATATTGATCAGAATAATCCAGATCATTATTAACCTTTTCTTTACATGAAATTCTGCACACCATCACAACGAAACACTTCTAAATATGTATATTCAAGGACATCTCGTGTACCATTATGAGGCTCACTATCAAAGTGAGACTGTTAGCCAACAGACCGGGAGAGGGGCTGTTACGGCCAGCTTTGTCCTCGCCCTCCTGCCTTGAGACGAAAGCTTGGCGATTTAAAGCTTGGCTTTGTGGGTTTGGGTCTTCACCAGCAAGCCCCTGCTGATGGATGACGGGCTCAGCCCTGCTCAGGACATGCCAGTCAACCATCCTCGCTTTCTTCAAACTGACCAACCCGAAATTACGGAAGGAAAACTCTTCAGAGACTTTGAAATCCCACCCCCGGCGAAGAGACTGACTTTAGGCTTCAGGAGTCCCCCCACCCCGTCCCCCCACCCCGTCCCCCCGGCTTTTCAGAGCGTCTTTTCCTTGTGTGTCTGCACATGTGTGTTTCCTCCCCACCCCCCAAGAAACGACTTCCTTCAACGGCTGATTCTGTCTGCGGTGCTTGAGGTTTTTCCGCTGCTATCTGTTGCGCTGCAGATTTTCCTGCCTTTTAACTCTTAACTGGCAGAGAAAACAAACTCGACCTCTTAGACTCTAAGGATTGTATCATTTCAAGACCCTTAGCCTGTATCACAACAGATGCTATTAATTATAGAATTAATCTTGTGAACAGGCACAATCGTGTTCACCGATTTACTCATAGTGATACCTCTCATACATACCAAATATGTTGTAGCCTCGCTTGTGTTTCTCCCCTCCTCTTATCCCTTCCCCCAGCTTCCTTTGTTTGTTTGTTTGTTTGTTTTTGAGACAAGCTCACTCTGCAGCTCAAGTTGGCTTGGAACTATTTAATCTAGGTTAGTCTCAAACTCTTAAACTTGCTGCAATCCTCTTGCCTGAGCCTCTCAAGTAATAGGATATAGGTGTGAGTGATGGTGCCGTCTTCTCTCTGTGTCTTTTAAAAAATACTTACTTCAGCTAGTTGGTGGTGGCGCACGCCTTTAATCCCAGCACTGAAGAGGCAGAGGCAGGCAAATTTCTGAGTTCCAGGCCAGCTTGGTCTACAGAGAGAGTTCCAGGACAGCCAGAGATATACAGAGAAACCCTGTCTCAAAAAAAAAAAAAAATGTTATTTTCATTTTTAATTATGTGTGTGTGTGTGTTTAGATTTATGCACTAGTTAGTATTGGTGCCCATGGGATTCAGAAGAGGGCATCAGATTGATTCCCTTGAGCTGGAATTACATACAGGCAGTTAGCAGCTACCAAAGAAATTGAAAACTGAACTGGGATCCTCAGCAAGAGCAGTACCCCTCTTAGGTGACCAGCTGTCTTTCCAGCCTCCCCCACTCCATGCCCCCGTGAAAGCCTGGAAAGTGCTCATTTTCGTGGCCATAATAGTATGTGAAAGAAAGGCAGAACTGGTGGCGTCTCAGTCTTGTGTTTATCTTCAAGGGAAGGAACGAAAATGCTAAATAAATCATCTGTCAAGATGTACAGTTAAAGACACCATTAACACAACATTGTGGGGGTGGTACTTAAATTTACTGTCCTATAGAAAACTAAAGGAAACATTTTTGTGGAAGTTATCTGGCCTGGAACTAGGTGACTCATTCTAGGGTGTGCATGCATCAATCAGGCAATCTGTTGCTTCAAACTCTGTTTTTAAAATCTGACTACATTTTAGGGGCTGGAGTAGATGACCCAGCAGTGAAGACCACTTACAGCCCTGGAAAGATGGCTCAGTGCTAAAGAACATTTACTGTCCTTTTTTTTTTTTTTTTTTTTTTTCCCAGAAAAGGCTATTTTTTTATTCAAGTAACTGCAAGTAGGAAACCAGAGGGGAGCCCCAGGCCGGGACAAATACTGGCCACCCCTCCCCCACAGAACAAGGGGAGAAGGCGGGCCTACACCCTTTTCCCATCAAAATGGGCCCCCTCCTCACTCAGCTGCAGCATCCAAGGGGCAGCAGGGCCCCATTTTCCCTGGTGTGGGGTGGTTGGTAACCAGCCTGCTGCGCCCCAGCCCCCCTTTCCCCTAGAGTGTCTTGGGGAGAACGCAGCCTGAACGGGAGGATGAACTTTTGGCGCTGGTAGCAGCAATGGTGGGTGTCTAAGAATGAACATTGAACAAAAAAAACAACACAGCTGTCCAGAGGTAGTTTGTGAACAGAGGAAAAGATGGAACCAGAACCTTGGGGGGCAGGGAGGAGCAAGGCGGGGGGGGGGGGGGCAAGGCTGGCTCCTTAGTGCCCTACTGGAGGGAGGGAAACAGCCCAGAGTGGGGTGGGGGAGGTGAGTTGGCGCCCCATCTGCCTTAAGTGGATGCCAGAGAATAGGACCCCACCCTGGAGATGGGTGGGGTCTCCCATCCGTCACTGCATTGGGTCCCAGGTGAGAACAAGGTGGGTGGGGCCATCACGTCCTACTTCCTGTAGTTCAAGGGGCTTTAGCCAACCTAGTGCAGGGTCTAGGTAAGGTGGAGCAGAAGCGACTGAGAAACCCACCTGTGACAGTTTGGTGGGGCATGCTGGGATCTAAGCATCCCTGCACCCACCGCACCTACTGCTGCCAGGTCAGCCAGTGGGGCTTGTCAGAAGTGAGATGGGGCTGGGGCCCTTTAAGGCCAGGGAATGCTCCCAGGACCCTCTGCAAGAAAGCCAGGAAGAGCAGAGCAGAAGGGACCTGCAAGACAGCCTAGAGAGCGGTGTCTCTAAGGGACAGGCTAAATGGGAAGTTAGCCTTGTCGGGAGAGGGCAGGTGTGCTGGGGAGGAGGGCACAGGGACTGAGCCAAATCCTGCTCCCGTGGGTGCCCGCAGAGCCTGCAGCTGGTGCGGTAGTGTGCAGTGGGGGTGGGGAGGGGCCCGGAAGCGGGGCTGTTGATGAACCACATTTGGGGGACTGGGGTGGGGGGCGGGTGGGCAGGAGTTCAGGCAGTAAAGTACTTGCTTGCTGGGTAAGTGAGTATGTGGGTCTGATTCATGGAGACCAGAAAAAACAAAAAAGCATACACGATTTATGGCTCCTGAGAAAGGACACCTGAAACCACCTTCTGACCTTACATGTGTACACACTGTAGGGAAAGGGGGACAGCTAAAAAACCCCACCCTGACCCTGGATCCCAGAACCAGTGAAAGAAACACAGTCTGAATCTGGGACCCGAGCCAGTGAAAGAAACACTTTATCCCTGAACCCAGAACCAAAGAAGCATGCCCTGACTCTGAAACCAGTGCCAAAGAAACACACTTTGTCCCTGGAATCAGAGTCAGTGAAAGAAATATGCCCTGGCCTTAGAATTAGAGCCAAAAAGCTAAGAAAGGCCAGTGAAAGAAATACAGTTTGACTCTGAAATCAGGGCCATCTGTGCCCCTAACCCATGAAACTAACCAATCCCTGAGGTGGGGGAAAAGAAAAAGAAAACCCTAACCAATCCCTGGACAGAAAATCGTCTACCTGGAGAAACTCCACCCCTAAGAAATCCTATATAAACCACCTGCCTGGTCAGTGGTCTGCTGTTCTTTCCCACCCTGGTAGAGGCAGCCACTCTCCTGGACTCCCTTCTCAAATAAATTTCCTTCTCAAGAGTCTTGGGTGTGAAGATCTTCATTCGTCAGCACAGAGAAGAACCTTGCTGAGACTCCCTTAGGGGACTGAGCAAGATGGAGCAGAAAAAGTAACAAATTTTGCTGGACCCAGAGGAGAATGCTACATTTCGGCAGGGGTTTCCCCTTTAGCAGAGTGAGGCAAAAGAAGCAACATCTTGGGCGGGAGAAGCAGAGCTCTGCTAGGAAGCCCCCTTAAGTGGGGGCTGAGCAAGGCTGAGCTGTAGCAGCTCTCCAGGAGAGGAGCAGGTTTGCTATATCCTGCGAGGAGACCATCCTCCACTGCACCCCAACTCCAGGTATTGCCTGACTCCCCTGAGCAGTCAGGATACCTTTCCCTCCAGAGCTGAGCTGTCCTAACAGCTCAAGGTATAGCCTGGCTCCCCCAAGCAGTCAGGATACCTTTCCCTCCAGAGCTGAGCTGTCCCATTGCAGCTCCAGCTGCCAGAGCTGTCCCATTGCAGCTCCAGCTGCTAGAGCTGTCCTAGCGGCCCGAGGTATCGCCTGACTCCCCCCAAACAGTCAGGATACTTTTCCCCCAGAGTTGCAACACTCACTTACACACATGAACACACACACAAAATATAAAGCAAAACCACAGGCGGGATGAAGTCTTGCTAACACAAACTTTACTTTTGTGTGGGTATAGCACCACGGTAGCAAGCATGGCATGCTTGGCATGTGTGAGGCCTAGAGTTCAACTCTCAGCACCCAGCACAAACAAAAATCCAAATTAGTGTCTAACAAAATAATGAAAAAATTTCCAAGTTAAAAATCTAAAAAATAAAAAAAAGTAACCTTAATGAATTCTCGTTCTCTTCGTATATACACTTTGCATTGAGAGAATAGGAAATGGCTTATTTTTTATTGGAAGTGGAAACGTTTGCTTAAGCCTGCCATTCATCCCTCTTTGATGGTGGTTTGACGGTGAGTTGAGCAGTGGGGCCGGGTCCTAGTCACTTCTACATATTTGTGGCCAGATGTGCGATCAGGTCTCTGGCATCCTCCATGGTGGAGGGGATCTCTGAGCCGTTCTCAGTCACCTGAGTTCCAAACAAGAATATCTTCCTGTCATTCCCCACTTCAGACAGTGCCAAAGCGTCGTGGATATCTGTAATGTGATAGGCGGCTTTAAGATCCTTCACCCACAATGGAAAAAGAACAGGAGACGTTGGTTAGTCTGCAGTCTTTTGGGATACAAATACTTTCTCCTTATTCTAAATGACTCCACCATCTTAATACAGGAAATATTGAGACTTTGTTATTATGACCCCAGTGTTGGTATGAATAGGAACATTTTTTTATTAGAATTATGCCATTATTTCTGACTTATCAAAAAAGTGTTTTCTGCCCCCCCCCAAAAAAAGTCTTGAATTCTTCTTTTTGTTTTGGTTTTGGTTTTTCGAGACAGGGTTTCTGTGTAGCCTTGGCTATCCTGGAAACTCACTCTGTAGACCAGGCTGGCCTCAAACTCAAAGATCTCATGCCTCTGCCTCTGGAGTACTGGGATTAAAGGTATGTGCCACCATCACCCAAGCAGGACTGGATTTTCTAAACGATGCCATCAATCTGTTTATTTTTCTAAGATAATTTTAATATGATTAATTGTTAAGAATTATATCACTAAGAAAAACTTGATTCATCATTTTATCTGATTGTTCAATTTTTTTGTTTGTTTTGTTTTTCCAGATGGGGTTTCTCTGTGTAACAGTCCTAGCTGTGTTGGAACTTGCTTTGTAGACCAGGCTGGCCTCGAGCTCACAGAGATCTGCCTGCCTCTGCCTCCCGAGGGCTGGGATTAAAGGCATACAGGACCATGCATTTGATTGCTTTTCATGTACTATTTTTATTCTTTGGGAATTTCATACGTACATACAATGTATTTTGATCACATTCCTTCCTTACTCCTCTCCCAGTTCCTCTATATCAATCCTCAACCCTATGACCCACTCTCAATTATGTATTTTTTTCTTTTTATATCTCATTGGATCCAATCTGTGTTGCCTGTATATCCGTGGGTATGAATGAGGCCATCCACTGGAGGATGGTCAACCTACAGAGGCCACATCTTTAAAGAAAACTGACTCTCCCTAGACCAGAAGCCATCAATTGTCCATAGCTGCTCAGCTAGGGGTCGGGGCTCAGGAACCCTTACCCACTCCATGTTGAAAAGCTGGCTGCTTGATCTTGTGCAGGCGACCACAGCTGTCATGAGTACCCGAGTGCAGCTTCCTGTCATGTTCAGAAGACACTGTTTCGTTTAGTCCTCTCTGGTCTCTGGCTCTTACAGTCAGTCATTCCTCCCCCTTGTCTGTTCTGTTCCTGAGCCTTAGTGGGAGGAGTCGGTTGGCTTTCTTAGTGTCATACCATGAAACTTAAGCTGGCCTTGAACTTTTGGTCCTTCTGCCTCAGCCATGCAAGTGTTGGGAGTATAGGTGTATGCCATCATACCCTACTCATCAATTACTTCTCGTCCATATCCTATTTTACTAATTTTCACACTTATCACTGTGAGTTCTTTGTTGCTATCATTATGTATTCTCACCAAAAAATTAATGTCAAACTTGTAGGGTATATGGAGGCCCATGTGTGTAATCTTAGGGGGAGTCTGTGAGGATTCCCCTGGTGGGCTATGTATGGTAACTAGGTATTGGTAATCACAATATGTTACCTATTTGAAAGCTGAATTCATTTAGTCATAGAGCCCTTAGTGACTTCTATAACAGAGTAATGGATACAGGCAGTATATAGATGATGCCTTGGTTAATAAATTCACTCAAGAAATTGTAAAGGAACAAGTACAGAAGAGATAGTATGGGTAGGAATCGAGGTCATAACCAAAGAATAAAGATAATAAGATAACATTTTTTTTTTTTTTAAAATTCAGGGCCTCCCTATCTAGCTCAGGCTGGTCTTGAACTTGGAATCCTTCTGCCTCTGCTCCTCACTGCTGAGATTATAGGCATGAGCCTCCACACCAAGCTAAGATAAGTTTGTGAAAATCCTGATGTAACATACTGACCTAGTGATTCATCTAAAAGCATAGACTACATATTTTGACAAAATATAAACAAATAGGTATGAAATTAGAATAGCCAAGTCTGGGTGAGGGGTGATTTGTCAAGGTCATCAAGGGGGAACCCCCAGAGACAACTCACCTGGGCTCGTGGGAGCTCACAGACTCTGGACCAATGACTAGGGAGCCTTTGGTCAACCTAGGTCCTCTACATATGTATGACAGTTGTGTAGCTTGAGCTACGTGTGGGACCCCTAGTGGTAGAAACAGGGCCTGTCCCTAATGTTTTGGCTGGTTTCTAGGAACCTATTCCTCATACTGGGTTGCCTTGTCCCACCTTAGTACAAGAGGAGGTGCTTAGGCTTACCTCAACTTGTTTTGCCATGTTTTGTTAACACCTGTAGGAGGTCTGCCCCTTTCTGAAATTAAATGGAGAAGTGGATTGGGGAGCAGGGAGGGGGGGGATGGGAGGAGAGCATAGAGGGGAAACTTTGATTGGGATATAAAATAAATGAACACATTTAATTAATTAAAAAACAGCTAAGCCTTTTATCATTAAGGTTAAGCAAAAGTTTTTAATTTAACTGGGCATAGTGGCATACTGACCACTCAGGAGGCCGAAGCAGGTAGCTCTCTATGAGTTCAAATCCAGCCAGGTCTATATAGTGAGTTCCAGGCCAGCCAAGGCTACATAGTTGAGACCCTGTCTCAAATAAACAAAAAGTTTTCAATTTGACAAAAAATGACTCTGTTTATTCAATTTGATGAACACAAGCCACACAAACCACAAGAGAAAAGAATGGATAAATTTGATAACTAAAAAGGAAAGTCTTGCTGGGCGGTGGTGGTGCATGCCTTTAATCCCAGAACCTGGGAAGCAGAGATAAGTAGATCTCTGTGAGTTCAAGGCCAGCCTGGTCTCCATAAGTGAGTTCCAGGACAGTCAGAACTATACACATAGAGACCTATGTAGAACTATGTCTCACAAAGGGGGAAGGGAGTCTCCAATGTAAAAATAGAAACCACAAGCAAAGCAAAATGATAATCACTGAAATCCTGGAGAAGATGTTAATGATGCATATAACCCACAAAGGGAATTTGCAAAAGATATTAAGTACCCTACAGAGTGAGATCCAGGACAGGCACCAAAACTACACAGGGAAACCCTGTCTTGAAAAAAAACCAAAACAAGGGCTGGAGAGATGGCTCAGAGGTTAAGAGCACTGGCTGCTCTTGCAGAGGTCCTGAGTTCAATTCCCAGCAACCACATGGTGGTTTATAACTATCTACAATGAGATCTGGTGCCCTCTTCTGGCCTGCAGGCCGAACACTCACTGTATACATAATAAATAAATAAATCTTAAAAAAAAAAGAAAGAAAGAAGGAAAGAAGGAAAAAGAAACAAAACAAAACAAAAAGTCAGACAGACAGATAGACAGACAGAAACAACACACTGGCAAAACAGACAGTTGTGACAACAATGAGTCCTGGTGAGGGGGTGGGCATTCAAAAACTAGTGCAACTTTGTGAGGAAATTTAGGAATATCTGATAAAACTCTTTGCAGATCCAAAACTCCAGCACTTCTAGGTCTGCGCATGTGAGAAATGTGCGTCCCCATGTACAAGGGCACACACATTTGAAATGTGCATCTGCATGTACAAGGGCACACACACACATTTGAAATGTGCACCCCCATGTACAAGGGCACAACACACATTTGAAAGCTCACAGCAATCGTGTAATGGCAAACGACTGGGCATGATGAAAATGGCCAGGTTATAGTCCATCAGAACGCTACGCAGTTCACATGGATGGACAGGAGCTGCTGAATCTTTGTAGTTCCCTCACCTGCTGCTGGGGATTGAACGCAGGATCTCTCACATGCTAAGCATATTCACTGTCATTGAGCTACATCTCTCAGACCTTGAGTCTTTGTAGTTTTAAGACACTTCACTTAAAAATGAAAAACAAGACCGGGAGGTGGTAGTATACGCCTTTAATCCCAGCACTTGGGAGGCACAGCCAGGTGGATCTCTGTGAGTTCAAGGCCAGCTTGATCTACAGAGTGAGATCCAGGACAGGCTCCAAAAGTACACAGAGAAACTTTGTCTTGAAAAAACTGGAAAAAAAAAAAAAGAAAAAAGAAAAGAAAAACAAATCATCACCTTTCTTTTCAAAATGCTAACACAATGTCAAAATGTGCTGGGCCAGCCTCTATCCTGGATGTCAGCCTAGGTTCCTGATAAACTAAGATCAATCGTAATTATTGAGTTTGCTTCTGTGAACATCAGGGAAAGGCAGGCACTGTGTCGTTCTTGGTTGACAAACCTAGTAATTGAGAGAATTAGGTTACAGTGTTTGGAAACCTAGAGGGGTGTGGTGTGTGTGTGTGTGTGCATGTAGTAATAGTAGTACACATAACAAAATTTGCGGTTTTAGTGTACAATTCAGTAGTATTAAATGCATTCACAGTGTTTTATACCATCACTATCAACAATTCCCCCGAACTCTTCATCTTGCTCAACTGAAGCTCTATCTATACTAAGCTAACTTCTTCCCTCCTGGAACCCTTGAGAGCCACGGTTCCACTTGGACCTCTGCAGATTTGATGACTCTGGCTGGAAACTGGATACGCAGAATCACACAGCTTTGTCCTTCTGTGGCTAGTGTGTTCATTTAGGATAGTATCCACCAGGTTCATCTGTGTGGTTACATGCGCTAGAACTTCCTTCCCTCAGAAGGCTAAAGTAATATGCTATATGAACACACCACATTTTGCTACGCACTCATCAGCGGGCAGACACGTTGGTAACTTCTAACCTGTGGCTATTGTGATAATAATAGTGCTGCCATGAACATAAGTGTATAAAAACATATTGGCTACCTGATTTCATTTATCTGGGGGCATATACAAAAAAAAAGTTGAATTGCTGCATCGTACAGAAATTCTATTTTTTTTTCCTAGTAGCTTACACTTTTAAGGACAGTGTACAGAGCTTCCAATTTCCTCCATGGATGTTTATTACCTTGAACGCAAGCAAGTGAATTCAGTCAAGAGTCACTGATCCAAAACACAACTCTTCCTTTAACACATAGAAGCCACTCAGACACTGTGTTGATTTAAATCAACAATCAATATTATTTTATTGAAATAAGTTCAACACACTTGGTTCAATTCCATTTCTCCACAAGGCAACAGTCTAGGCAATTCAAGTACTTAAAGGACACAAGATAATTGTATTTCCATTGAGAGAGTATATAATCCAGGAGTCCTAATAAACTGAATACAATTTATTATTGTAATAGGTAATATTCAGCAATACCTACCTATTAAAACCAGACAATTCTGTGCTACTAAGGAAACTATTGACTGCAGGTTACACTAACACAGAAAGCTAGGCGAGGTGCTCTACCACAAAGCCAGATTTGCACAGATTCTTTTTTTTACCTGTTTGTTGGCAAACACAACCAGAGGGAGCCTTGGGTTTTGTTCCAGTAGCTGATGAAGGCATTTCTTGGCTTCGGGTAATCGTTCGTGATCAGCTGAATCCACCACGAAGATCAGCAGCCATCCCTTGAGCAGGTACTTACCCCAGTAGGATCGGAATGGCTCGCTGCCACCAACTGCAGAGGACGGGAGAGGACGCAGTCACAAGCTCACTAGTCAATCAAAACCACAGCGGACCCACCAAGGGGGTCTAGGGGACACACTGACCAGGCGCTGTATTAAATGCCACTGCGTTAGACTGTAGCCGCCTCTGAGTGACCAGAGCAATGTCACTGTTGCCAGGAGGAAACAGTTGGTCAGTGGGAATAACTGCACCCCCGTAGAAGTGAATCACTCATCTAGGAATCACCAAGGATCAGTTTGAAAAGCCAGGCCAGTCAGTTCATGCCTGTAGCCCCAGCACTCAGGATCCTGAGGCCGAATGAAGGCTGCGAACTTGAAGCCTGCCTACTACCAACATAGCAAAGACTGTGTCCCCAGCAAACAGAGACCATGAGTATTTAGGAGATCCTAAATACTCCAGTGATGTCTTCCTATCCTAAAGACACAGCAGAACTGCCAGCCGCTGCTTGCGCCGACATAACTTAGAAACATGGGCATAGGTTACTAAGATAATGGAAGATGATAGGCTAAAATACATGTCATTCTAATATTAATTTAAATGTATGTGTCTAGATAGACAGATAGATTAGATAGATAAGATAAGATAGATAGATTAGATAGATAAGATAGATAGACACAGGGTCTCACTATGTAGCCCTGGCTGTCTTGGAATTCACTATGCAGACCAGTTGGCCTCAAAGTCACAAAGCTCCACCTGTCCCTGCCTCTCAAGTGCTGGGTACACGCATGCGCCACCATGCCTGGCTTCTAAAATAATTTTTAATGTTTATTTTTTATGAACGTGTATGTGTGTGTCTTGGTGGATGTATGCCATGTGTTGGTGTGCCTGGGCATAGGCCCGAAGAGGACACTGGCTCCCCTGAAGCTGGAGGTATGAGCACTTGTGAGTTGCCTGATATGGGTGTTGGGGACTGAACTCGGGTTCTTTGCAAGAGCAGTGCGTGCTGTTGGAGTCACCTCTCTACCCAATAAAACCCTTTAAACAACCATGGGAATGCTGCATTTCCGTCATCACAACCGGCGACAAGCTGGTTTTCCACTCCTATCATTTATTTGTGCCTTACAGATTTTCTTGATATATTTTACCAGAAGTCCGTCTATTTCTGTTTATATTTTCAATATACTAACTTTTGACTTTTCTGACCTTTGCCATTGTGTCTTTCCTCCCCGATTTCATTGGTTTCTAAGTGGTTTTTCTCCCCCACTCCCACTTTGGTTTTAAATAGGATCTTACTATGGAATCCAGGCTAGCCCCTAGCTCATGATTCTCCTGCCTCAGCCTCTCAAGTGCTCAGATTACAAGTCTGTAACCCCTTGTCTGGTTTTTAAAGATGTATTTATTTATTATGTACACAGAAGAGGGTGCCAGATCTCATTACAGATGGTTGTGAGCCACCATGTGGGTGCTGGGAATTGAACTCAGGACCTCTGAAAGAGCAGTCGGTGCTCTTAACCTCTGAGCCATCTCTCCAGCCCTCATTGTTGTTTTTAACAATGACTCAGTTCTCCATCTTTTAAAAAAATTATTTATTTTTATTTGAAATGTATTGGTGTTTCTGCATGGGTGTTGGGTCCCCTGGAACTGGAGTCACAGACAGCTGTGAGCTTCCGTGTGGGTGCTGGGAGTCGAACCCAGGTCCTCTGGAAGCGCAGTCAGTGCTCTTAACCATTGAGCCATCTCTCCCGCACCAGTTCTCTGTCCTTTTTAACTTTTCCACAATGACTTTATCTTTGAGCTAAGAGTCACTTGAAAGTGGATAAACCTATCATTAAGAGTTTCTAAGTTAGCAAAAGCTTTGTTTAAATAGTGTGTTAAAATAGTGGTCCTTGAGACTGGGCAAAAGCAGAGATTACACAGTGACTGTGGTACCTGGGAAGAGAAGAGAGGGGCAGGCACTCCTCACGTGGGAGCTGAAAAGGACAAAACGCAGACATTTGATGCATGCTTTGGAGAGAGATAACCTCAGAGTTTGACTTGCAGAATGATGCTGTAGATAAAGACTGTCGGGTGGTGGTGGCCCATGCCTTTAATCCCAGCACTTGGGAGGCAGAGGCAGGCGGATCTCTGTGAGTTTGAGGCCAGCCTGGTCTATAGAATGAGATCCAGGACAGGCACCAAAACCACGCAGAGAAACCCTGTCTCTGGGGAAAAAAAAAAAAAAAAAAGACTGTCAAGGGGCATGCCCGGGAAACCCCTTGAGCACCTCCACGGAGGAGCAGCCTCCATGTACTGGCCAGAGGACTACAGGGAAAGGAGCAGATTCAGGATGAGTCAAGCTTGCTTTGCTTGTTTTGTTTTGTGACCACAGCAAGTCTCAAAGGCCAATTAGGAGTTCAAGTGGAGGTGGCAGAAAACATCTGGACTTGCTTGGGCTGTTCAGATAATTCTGGGTGTCTCTAGATGATATTTAGGGCCGTGAGGACAAATGAAGTCTTGTGGAAGACAGGAGGCCTGATCTGACTTTGGGAACTGGGCTATTAGCGAGGTGGGGGACAATATTGCCACACAGCAGGGGCTCTGGGAATGCCAGCTAGCTAGAAGAGGTTTGGGCTGCCCCCGATTTCACTGCCGAGAAGGACGCCCATTATAGTTGCTTAAGTGGCTGCGTAACCCCAGCAGTGAGGGAAGACGAAGAATGATTACAGGAGATCACAGGAAGGCGTGCTAAAGTCTCCCTCTAAGCCTCCTTTATTGCCAGCACTACAGTGAAGGGAGAAAATAAAAACAACAGAAAGAGGACTCCTCACTTCCCACCCCTAACCCCAACCTCCACCCCCTCCTCCACTCCCCCATTCCCCCACCTCCCCCACCCCCGAGCACCTGAGTGTTAAATTACACATCATCCTAAAGTGTAGAAGAATCCCATCCAGGGTCACATCTCTCAAGATTACAGTGTCAACAGGGAACGCTGCTTTCAGCCTAAGATGAACGCTAATGAGAAACAAGAGCTTACTCTCCAAGAACTCCAACTGGCTGCCTTCGGTGCTGATGTACACTTCGTTGAAACCTTGGGTTGGTGCCACGCTGTGCTGGACTCTGTTGGAAGCCAGGGACTGGAGGACACTGGTCTTTCCTGCTCCATCCAGGCCTAGTACTAGGATCTGGTTACTTTTCTCCTGTGAAGTAAAAAAACCAATCAGTAAATGCATGCTGCCGGGGCTGTGTTTGGCTGGCTCCTTAACAGTGTGCCTGACTGTATACCTAACTAGTTAACCATGGAATTGCTAACCAGTCTAAACTCAAACTACCCCTACTTCTGTGATGTTACTTCCATGTCCTTTTTCTATTATCCAATTCTTTGGTAGTCTATCAAACAACAAATATATGTGTACACACACACACACACACACACACACACACACACACACACACATTCGAACACGCATGCACACACATCTTAGAATTTACATGCTGTGTAGTGTCCCAGATCTATGGATACCAGGACTAATTTCTAGATATTTTTCTTCTTTTTTCACAGTGTGTGTGTGTGTGTGTGTGTGTGTGTGTGTGTGTGTACTCATGCACAGGAGGGGCACCTCAGCTTGCATATGGAGGTCAGAGGTCAACTCTCAGGAGCTGGTTTTCCCCTTCTACAGTGTGAGTCCCGGGGATCAAATTCAGGTTGTCAGGCCCTAAAGTAAACATCTCTACCTGCTG